GGAACCTTTTGGGGGGTGTCTTTTTTCAAATGCCACCAGGCCTCGTGGTCAGGGCCTTCGCCATATGGTGCACCCAGTCACTCTGACTCCCCAACGCCCCCTTCATGCCAGTCAGCGGGCTCCCTGTCCTTCAGTGTCTCCACATGTGTTCTCCAGCAATTAAAGCCCCACTGCCTCGCTCAATACTCAGCCCAAGTGTTCTTTACGTGACGACCACATCCAATGCTCACCAATCTCATGAGATGAGTGTCCCTCAGCCACTTCACAGAGGCTCAGCTCCCACCAGCTGCCCGGCCGCTCATCCGGTTCACGGCAAAGCCTGGGTTTGAGCACGGCTCACCAGCCGCCATGCCGCGCTGCTTCCTGGGAGACGGGAGCCTTCACTGCACGCGGGCAGCTGTGCCCCGGGGAGCACAGGGCAGTGCCACTTCCGGAGCCTGCCAACGGGGGCCCGCGTCCCTCTCCCAGACGAGCCTCCTGCTTCCTCACGTCCCGCCCGAGGAAGCAGTGTCGGCCGGGTGCCCATCTCTGACCCCACAGTGTCTGCAGCCTGTCTCACAGCCTCTGGCTACTGCGTGCCGAGGCCGTTCGGAGGGAAGGACGTGGCTTAGAAGGGGCTCCCAGGCACGGTGAGGCAGGCGCCCCTGAACTCAGCACAGTGACCCGCTGCCATCCACACGAGTCGTGGCCCCGAGCTGCGGACAAGCATCCTCGCAGGCCTGCCCCCGTCCAACCGGAGGCTGAGCCCAGGATGCCGTGTGTCCACGCTCTTCCCACCGCCCTTCAACAGAACGTGCGGACTGACCCCTCCACGCTGTCCAGCTGGTCCCACAGGCGGGTTCCTCCTGGGCGAGCTGGCGGCAGGGAGACCCACTGGTGACGGCAGATGTTCTGGGCCCGGCACCGGGGAAACCGTCGGAAGGAGAACCAGTTGGACATGTGTATGCAAGGTGTCAGCCTCATGTTTACGGTCCGACCGTCGGACCGTGGCAGATCCTCAGGGCGCCCCGCAGCGCTGTAGCCACACAGACGCCTCCCCACGGCGCCACGCTATCCGGGCGTGAGCTCCATGCCACCGTGACGCCGCCCTGTTGTTTAATGAAGGAAATGCTGCGTGAGCAGCACAGGACAGGCTTTCCCTCCACTGTGCCCAGTGTGGCAGCGGCATCCCATCACGTGTATTTCCACAGCAAGGACCATGCCACAACCACCAAAATCAGGGAACTAACGTGGCCTGGCAGTACCCCGTGTAACTCAGGACCCCAGTTAAGTTTACTGATATGTGTTTCAGCGCTAAAGTAGAAAACGTGTTATCACTAAGATTCCCTCTCACCCGTCTCTTCGAGGCCTCGCTGATGCCCAGCACTGAGCCCAGCCGTCCGCCCGGGTGTAGTCAACGCCTCAATGTGCGCCAAGTCCCATCTCTGTCAGCCCCGTGACTGGCAGTGCGTCCTGGGGAAGCCACTCGGCCCTTCAGTCCTGGCATCCACGGGCCTCTGAACCGTGTGAGTGTCCCCGCGGACCACCCCTCCCCGTCCAAGGGTGTTAGCTCAAGCCAGTGAGGGCAAGGGCGTGTGGCATCGGTGAGCGGGGAGGAGTCCGGCTTGGACCACAGAGGGGCCCTAACCACTGCGGTCCTCACTGCCTCGGTCGTGTCACGGGGGACAATGCCACACCGTCAGGCCACTCCGGCTCCAGACGCATGAGGCGTGGTTGGCCCGGGCTGGTGCGCTAGGAGCAGAGGCGAAGGCGGATGCGCCTTTCGGTGGAACCGGGGCCAGCACCAGGGCTGAACCGCGGGAAGAGTTTACCGTGGGGGCTGCGGTGGATTCGAGCTGTTCTCATGACGTGATACAAACACTGCTCTCAGTAGCCGGCGGGGACAGCTCTGAAAAGACCCCCAGGCCCCTCCTCCCTCTGAGGACGAGCTCAGCGCTGAGACGCCGGGCCGTGACTTGTGAACCAGCTCCGCACACGAGCCCAGAGCGGCGCCGGCCTCCACACACCGGCCACGCTGCCCGCACGGCGGGCTCCGGCCGCCGGGACCGCGGAGCAGCTCAGCTGCTCGTGACCTTAGGAGGATGCGAGAGGAGGTCCGGAGGATGCACATGCCTTGCCTGTGTGCAAACAGCTCGCTTTATTTGATTAAAAATGATTAAAAGAAAAGAAAGGCCATCCTTCCCTAACAGATCCTTTTGTCGAAGGTGCCGCTTGCTCAAAGCGCTCAACCCAGCATGGCATGGGGTGACGCTGACTTACTGCCAGCTCAACACAGCCGAGGGGGCAAGCCTGGAGGCAGAACTAGCAGAGCTGCCGTGGCCTGCAGTTACGTGAGCCACATTCCGGCACGGCGACGCCGGGGAGCCCGGGCACCTGCCGGGGACTCGGCCTGGACTGAGGAAGCAGCAGGTTCCCACAGCAGGCAAATCGCCCACACTCTCGCCCTTCTAACCATGGGAGACAGTTTGACGACTGCACCATCACCTGAGTGCATCGTCACTGAGTGCATGTGGGCTCTGCAAGGAGGCAGGCGGCCACGGGCACTTCAGCTCCCATCTCTCCCAGCAGGGACCTCTGGGAGGCAGGCGGGGCTGCCCCCTCAGCACCATGTCCCGTCCGGCCCTGAGACAAAGGAGGTCTCTCTCAGCCCTGGATATTCTTGTATTCTTTCGTGATACTGCTCGAGGGCAGGGAAATACCCATGCTGAGGCAACAAGGTCTTTGCCCAACAAAAACAGGGCTTGAGCAAGACGGATCCATCAACAGAAAGACAGAGGAGAGGCGTGCCTGTGGGGTGGAAACAGGACCTCAGACTGAGTGCCGCCTGCTGCTAGCAGGTACGATGCTCAGCTACAATATACATATTTCCACTAATACGCCGCTGGGCCCGGGCGCTTCCATGACCACGGGTGCCTGTGTGCGGACAGCGCTGAGAGCTGTCCCTCCACATACGGCCCCCCTCGGCTCAGCTCTCAAGGCTGATGAGCCACAGGAGAGCAAATAGCAAACTCTGAATCTATTTGAGGAAGCACTTTCTAACAATCTGTGTTCTCCAAAAATGGAACAGGCTGACGAGACGCAGCGTTCCAGCAGAGCTGGGTGGCCATCTGTCGGGGCGGGGCCATGGGCCCAGCCCCAGCCCCAGCCCCAGCCCAGCCCAGCCCAGCCCGGCCCGGCCCCAGCCCCAGCCCCCAGCCCCAGGGCTGGTTGGGGCGCCGGCCTCCTCCACAGACACAAGCTTGCGGCACTGGTCACAGCTCTGGATTACGGCTTGTGAAAAACTAAACACTGGGCAAAAGCTGTGGTGAATAGTTTCCATTTGAAGCTCTGTCTTCTCCTAAAAACTGAAGGAAAAAATAATGTATTCAAGGGACTTTCTAGATAATTCAGAAGGCTTGCTTAGCCTTCTTTTACTTCCTAGTGTTTCGTTCTGTTTCTGGGCATTTCATTCTGTGCTGGAATCTTTTTCTTGCTTTTTAAAAAAATATGTTTTATTGATTTCAGAGACGGAGAGGAGAGAGAGATAGAAACATCAATGATGAGAATCTTTAATCGCTGCCTCCTGCACTACTGAGGATCAAGCCCACCTCCCGTGTGTGTCCTGATGGGGAATCAAACCGTGAACTCCTAGTTCATAGGTTCATGCTGAATCACTAAGCCAAGCCGGCCTCTCTCTGCAATAGAATCTTGAGAATATATTTTAATAAAATGGATAAGAAAACAAAACAAGTCAATAGTGTTTAGTAGATCAAAAAAAAATTTTTTTAAGGGCACTTTAGCAGGTAAAAAGTTGAAATTGGAAAAAAAAAATTAAGCTCAGGCACTTTTACAGGTTTCATCTATTCATGCAGCCTACTTTTCTTTAAGAGTTATAAGTAGAGGACATGTTTCTTCCCCGTGCCCTGCTTGGAGAAAAAAAACAAAGGGATGCCAGTTTAGGGGGGGGAAGAGTCAGATTGCTCGGGAAACACGGGGTTTCTCTCTCAGCCTCAGAACCTCAGACACTGGCGAGCTGCCGTGACCCACACTGGCCTGCATTCCGCTTCTCCTCCAGTCCTGGCATTACCTAACCCACAGCACAAAGCACGGCAGCTTTAAGTGGTTTTGAAGAATTAGACTTTTCAAGATTGCATAAAATAAAGACAAATATCCTGCAATACCCACTGCATGCATGCATAATGCTCACACTCTCCTGTCACACTCTCTCCTAAAAGAAAAAAAAACATGCTCTTTTTAGAGAAAAAAAGGAAAAGCTCAAGTAAACACACCTGGGTGGTCATACTGACTTGTTTCAATAGCACATGCCCCAGCGATAACTAGCAGCCTCAGACACAGCCCCTGGTACCATGTGAGGAGGGAACTCTGGCTTTGTTGAAGGCAGGTCAGCCCAGTTATTCTCAGGAGGGCCCTCAAAGCTACTTTTCCACATACGCTGAAGCAATAACTACTGCAAGCAAGCCTGACACGCATGCAAAATACAAAGCAAGGTTGGTCCCTTCAGTTCAGGTGAGTCCAGTGGACCCTCCCACCTGTGGCCGGAGAAGAGCCGATGTGGGAGGGAGCTGGCTGAGGCCACCAGAGCCGAGCCCCAGCCGCCCCCACCTGGGGGACCCCCGATGGCCTCAGATATCACAGTGGTGCTCGCCCAGCTGCCAACCGAGTGAGCTGCCCAGGTCTGTGGTGCGAAAGTCACCCGGCCCTCTGCTCCTCCCCTCCTCCCCTCTGCACAGAGCCGATCACAGTTGGCACTTCCGGGGGGGACCGCCCTCCAGGCCCGGCCGCAGGTGGGCTGGAGAGGAGCAGGGGTCAGCTTTTCCCAGACTTCATACTCGGGAGGACCAACATGCTACCCCTCCGCCCTGGTCTCTCTCTCAGATTAAGAAGACAGCTAGAAGGATGCCAACATTTAAAACGCACTCTTTAAAAACAGAAACGATGAACACTCTCCCAAAGAGCGCCCGGGTCCTCGCTCTAACCGGGTCCCGGCCGCGAGCACTCACCCAGCGTGTCCTTCAGGTTCTTGACCAGCGAGCCCTTCTTCAGGCTGTTCTTCCGCTCCACGTAGTTGGACGGCACGTAGCCTGTCCGGTTGGCGGCGTTGCGTACCCGCCACCACGTCTTGGAGTCGTCCAGCAGCCACAGGCGCTCGTTCTTCTTGATGTCCAGCTCCTGGTCCTGCTGGGCCGTGTAGTCCCACTTGGCTATCACGATGACCTCCTCTGTCATCTTTCATGGAGTCCCCTGCGGAGAACAGCTCGTCAAACCCGCAGACATTAACCCCCGGCGGCTTTGGTTGCTCCAGGGTGGGGAGCCCTCAGCCCAGCACGGCCGTCCTTCCATGGCACCCCACGTCCCTGTCAGGGTTCCTTAGAACCAGCAGCCTTAGAAACAGCTTAGCCCGGTTCACTGGGGCTCCTGCTCGCTTTGCCAAAGACAAAAGCAGTTCCCCAAATATTCTAAGCAGCGATTTCATAACTAATGTGTTCATTTGATTAAGCAATTCCAGCTCTGTATACCCGATGTGTACACATCCCCTGTCTTAGTATATGCTGAATTTTATGAATATATTTAATAAGAAACACACACTCCAGCTCTTCCTACAAATTAAAATGAAAGCAACGTGGCGTCCTGCACTGGACCCTGAAACAGAAACAGAAAGAGAAAGTGAGGGAGACCCTGTGACCTTCCAGGGAAGCGCAGTCACTGGGCGCTCAGCATGCCCCTTGCTCGGCGCTGCCAACGTGCCGTGGGCACGAAGATGCTGACACCAGGAGAGGCGGGGAAGGCGGAGGTACATGGAATGCTCGGCACTACCTCTGCGGCTTTTTATAAACACAGCATTACTCCTGAAACCTGCACATGGGTGTTTACAGTCGCTTTGTGCACAATCGCCAAAATGTGGCCGCAGTCAAGGTGCCTTCAGCAGAGGCGCTGATGAGTGAACGGTGGTCCATCCGCTGACGGAAGAAGACTCAGCGATAAAAGGAATGAGCCACCACGCCCTGGAGACACGTGGGAAGCCTTCGATAGGATCACTGAGTGACAGAAACCCCGGGAGGCTGCCTGGGGTCTCTCTCCCACAGAGGCTTTTGCTACCAAGCTTCGGCAGGCTTCTGAATCCCCGTCCCAAACCAGCCGTGACGTTCGTACTTCCTGATGCACCTTCGCTTCGCTCAGCTTTAACAAGATTCAGGCTGCGTGGATTTAGCCGGAATCCGCCCGCTCAGCCAGCCTCGGCCTGATCACCCACCGCCTTCAGGAAGAGCCTGGTGGCCCGGTCAGCCGGCTGCCCTTTCCTCTCCTTGGGGCTGTGCGTGCCCTCTCCCTCCTGCTCCAGGCTGTGACCCCCTCCTTCCTGTGCGGGAGCTGGGCTCAGGGGTTGTTCCCTCCCTCGCCCCCCCGCACACACCCCCTGCAAACACACACGCCCATGCAGCAGCCCCTGCATAGTCCGCCTGCCCTGCGTGCTTCCCAATGCCGTGACTCACTCTTCCTCCAACACTTCCACCGCAGGCGGCGGGGTGAACGGGCAGAGCACAGACCTGGCTCAGGGAAAACTCCGCACGGTATCCAAGTCCCGTGAAACGCGCAGCACCGAGGGTGAGCTGTGACACACACGGTTCCTAAGTGACAGGCGTGTTAACAGCCACAAAGCACAGAGCAGTGAAGTCCGCTCCGGGAGTAAGAAGAGCAGAGGGACACCTGAAGGCTAAGATGAGAGTAACCACCAGCTGTCTCAGCGGCGCCACACTTCCCAGCAAGAAAAGCCAGTATTCAGTCCTTCAATGACTAGAAGTTTCCTCAAAACTAGAGAGAAGGAACAGTGGGAAGACCACTCACTGAAAAGGAGTTCCCCTGAGTTACAGGGAGGCGACCTGTGCACTTGATGCCTGGAGGCATGAAGACATGTTAGATAACACGGCGCTTTCTACCAGATGCTGGAGACTGAAAGGTCCCAGGTTCAATTCCGGTCAGGGCATGTACGTTGTTTGTGGGCACATCCCTGGTAGGGGGTGTGCAAGAGGCAGCTGGTGGATGCTTCTCTCTCATCAACCTTTCTAGCTCTCTATCTCTCTCCCTTCCTCTCTGTAAAAAATCAATAAAATACATTTTAAAAAAAACACACACACAAAAAAACAACTTAGAGATAATAAACCTTTTGGGGGGAAAGCAATCCTAAGTAATAAAAGGCTAATATGCAAATCGGCCTAACAGTTGAACAACCAGTCACTATGATGCGTACTGACCACCAGGGGGAGCACTGCTCAGGCAGAGGCTGGGCTCAGCAGTGAATACAGTGGTGGTAGCCTTTCCTGCCACTACGGAGTACTGAGGATGTCCGACGGAGGGCTCAGGGCTTCTGGACTGGGAGAGGGCGCGGGACGGGCCGAGGGACCCTCCCCGCCATCCTCTGAGTGCACGAATCTCATGCACTGGGCCTCTAGTGTTTAGTGAAACTTATGCATAATGCACACGCCAGCCAACAGGACGAGCTCACACCACACTCGTGTCCTTTGGGCAGACAACGACCTGCTTCCAGAACCCAAGCTCACCGCTGTCTCCATCCTGACCCGGCTTCCTGTCAGCTTAGATTTTGAAAGTCATAAGGTAGTTTTGTTTTGTTTTATCTGTTTGTTTTTTAATACTAATGAGAGCAATAATAGGAATGGGACTCAAAGAATATCCCATTTAAATCCGGGTTTGTTTCTTAACTCCACAGTTTTCAGGAGTTTCTAACAAGGACAGCGCAGCACGAAAGACCAATCAAAGCAACGTGTTCGCCTCCTGCAAGATGCCAGGTGCGGAGCTGGCCGGGCGAGGCCATGGCGGTGCACGGGGACCCCCACGGGAGCTTGAAGAATGGGGTGCCTGGGCGCCCAGGAGCAGCGAGCAGCGCCTCCAGGAGCGAGGCCTGCGCTCAGATGTTACAACCGTAACCATGACGGACGGGGCAGGGACCGGAATCACAGCTGCATGCCTAGTCGCCAGACTCGCGGCCGGAATGACCCCTCAAATGTTCAGTTTAAGAAGTAAATGTGAGCGTATGCCGGAACCTGACACACACAACTCACTCAGTCAGCACCGCTCCCCGTTGGAGAGGGGGTGCCCTTTGGAGACAGGGCTAGAGCCTGAGGGACTTGTTAAATGAGTCCGGACTGGAGCCCAGGTCCACCGGCTCCCAAATCTGGGCTCTGTGCTCACTCTGGGGGGTGAGGGGTGAGGGTCTAATGTGTGGCCTGTGATTTATAGACTTATTCCAAACAGGAAGTCTAGGATTCCAGGTCAGCGAGTAAAAAGGTCCTGGACATGCTCCTTGGCTATGCAATGGGTTTAAACCTCTTCTGATGGACTGTGACAGCTGGCTCATACGGGGGTCCCAGCCGACACTGAGGAGCCACAGCTATTTTCCACAGCAACTGCACATTTCACGTTCCCCGGGCGCGGTTCCGGCCTCCCCACAGCCTCACCCTGTGCTACCCTGGTGTTTCACAGCAGCCATCCTGTTGGGTGTGAGGCTCATAAAGTTTCTTAAGTGAACCTGCTTCTTAGTGGATCAAAAACACGTTTTTACTTTATAATAAATCTACTCCCGTTGGAATCTTTTTTAAAGTGGGCACCTTTCTTTTTCCATCCTTATAGCCAGAGTCAAGTACCCAACCCTCATTAAAGTACATTAAGAAAAATGCCTTTATCAACCAGCACCTCACTGTGCCCATGGTGCTGAGTGAGGTGCCCGACACCCCGTGATCCGAGAACGGAACTCCAGGCCGGCACCACGCATCGTGCCCACGGCCGTGACAGAGCAGAGCCAGGGCGCTGTGCTCCAGCTAAAGCCTGGGAACGCTGTTCCTCACTCCTCACTCACAGCCTGAGTGCCCACTCTGCCACCCCCCCTGCTTCCTCCAAGCGCCCTGGACATCCTCACCCCGAGGCGGCTGTGGAGGAGGGGTGCCTGAGTACCTCACTTTGGAGAATCGCCATCAGTTTAATAAGCCACTTTTATCACAGTATTAATGGAGAAACAAATACAATTCAAGTAAGCACACTGGAGTTAGAACCGACACTGTCTGAGGCCAGCCTGCAGCACACCACAGGAATGAAGTGACCGGACAGATGTACACAACGGACAAACACCCACAAGCCACATTCCCAGAAACAGGGGCTGTGGGGAGGGAGGGAGAGGCCGGGAAGGGATCCGTTCAGCTGTGAGCCCTGAGGGCCCAGGTAACACCCGGCTCTGCGGCTGGTAACACGGTATCCTACAGTGACATTGGCTACGAGTGGACTAACATGCTCTCACCAGAAGAAGAGATGAGTAAGTGAGGGGAAGGATGTGCTAATTAATAGAGGTGATGGATATGTTAATTAACAATCCTTTCACACTGTACACATAGCAAACCACCACAATGTACCCTTCAAACACCTTACAATGTTAGTGATCCATCTACCTCAATAAGGCTAGACTTAAAAAAGAAAAAATTACCCATCTTTGAAAATGAGCATTGCTCTAGCTGGTTTGGCTCCATGGATAGAGCGTCAGTTTACGGACTGAAGGGTCCTGGGTTCGATTTGGTAAAGAGTGCATGCCCGGGTTGCAGGCTCGATCCTCTGTAGGGGGCCTGTGGGAGTCAGCCGATCAATGATTCTCTCTCATCATTGATGTTTCTATCTCTCTCCCTCTTCCTTCCTCTCTGAAATCAATAAAAATATATTTAAAAAAATAAAAAATAAAATGTGCATTGATCCCTGGTGAAACCTGACCTCCTCTGGAATGCAGTGCCCTCAGACAAGGTGTGCCTGCTGCTCACCACGCACACGGACAGCCAGCATCCGCTTCCAGGGGTTTACTAGGCGTATTTTTTCCTCAACCAGAAAAGAAGTTGTAATTTTTATAACTCAAGCATCTATTTCGTAAACATATAAAATATAAATGTCATGAGCTTCCTCAAGTCTTACTAACGAGTTCAGCTACATTAATCAATAACTGACCTTTGCCCTTACCACCTATTATTCATAATCGCTGCCTAATTCTGAAACATACCAGGGTAAAATGAGAAGCACAGTGACCCAAAACACATTCTGCATTCCCTGGGCCTCATACTTGTCAAATGTGACTAACTTTTAGTCCTGCAGGTCTGCATGGCGTATGCCCATGTCCCCAGCACCCTATGCTTTCGGTTTCCTAGTTGATGGGAACCCTCAGGGCCTGGCCCTGGGGATGGCAG